GTTCGGGGGTGCGGGGGAGGGCCTTGGGGCAGGCGGCGACCGGAGGTGGACCCGGGAGGCGGTTGGCCCAGGCCCGGCCAGCACTGCTCGGGCCGCCCCCGCGGCGCCAGCCCCTGGCGGGAGGAGCCTCAGGCGGGCGGCGGAGTAGTGGGGGTAAGGCCCGTCCCCCGTGGCCGGGGCGGGCAGGGGGTGGGCGAGGCCACACTGCCCCCTCCCCCGGGGCGGGCAGCCCATCCCCCTCCTCCTGCGAGGCCCCGCCACTGCCCCTTCTCCCTCCCTTCCCTCCGCCCCGGGCGGGACCAAGACCGCCGCCGCCGCCTCCCGCCCGCCCCCCCTCACAGCGGGGACCGCCTGGTCGGCCCTCGCGCGCGCCCCCTCACTCTCCTCCCACCCCTAGGCTTGGAGTGGACTTATCCTTACCGCTCATGGTGGCAGCTGAGGGGCGAGCTCAAGGGGGTCCTGTCCGGGGGGGTTGGGGGGGGCCGGGAAAAACGCGGACGCTGACGAGGCAAGCGAACCCGGACCGGACAGGGAGGGGGGGGTAAGGAGGAGGGAGCAGCGCGCCACAAGCCCGGCCTAATCCCCGCCCCTTATGTGCTGCCCCGCCCAATGAGGGAGGGAGAAAGGAGGGACTTGCCGAAGACAGGCGGGTAGATTACCCAATGGCAAGACTCGTTCGCTCGCTTAGGCGTGTGAGAGTAAGTTGCGTACTTGGTATCCGCCCAGAAAGACAGCCTCTCAGTTTGAAGAGCCAATAAAAGAGTCAGGAAGTGAGGGTAGGCGGGAAGGGAGGACGATAGACTTGGAAAGAAACCAGTCAGACGCCAGGCGGGCTCCGTGAGCGATGGTGGTAGGAAGACCTTGGATAGGAATGACAGGTGAACGACCAACCAGAGCCTTGGGCATGCCTGGGCAAAGTCCGGGTTAGCAGGGGAGTAAGAAATAGGCCGGCATGGGACAGGATGAAGCAGCTAAGCCAATCAGAAATCAGGCGGGCAGTTAAGAAAGTTATGATTGGATTAAAACTGAAACGAGCCGGAATAGGACGAGTATTGACGTGAACTACACACCAATTAAATGTGGCGTGAAAGGCGAAGGCCGACCTTGGAGTGGGGCGAGGAGACCGGACTTCTCTCCGAATCACTCAGTCCAATGAGGGAGCGAACTAAACCTGGCACCGCCTCTAGCTCGACCAATGGGTGTTACTAGAACCGCCCACAATGAGGAAGGAACAGGGCTGTGCCAAGAGGAGCTGGTCGCCATGTTGGCCCTCCTTAGGAGACATCTTTGCAGTAGTTAGGTGGTTTGTGCCCGCGGAGCCCTGCAGCTCAACAAGTGTCAGAGCGGAGACGCTCGGTCCCAGAGCTGCCTCCTTCGAGCCTCGGTGTGGTTGCTCACGGAAAGCACGACTCGAATCTCGCCCGGTCCCCGGGCGAGCGGGCGGAGCCCCCTGGCTGTGGGTGGAAGCCCCGCGGCGGCGGGGGGGGGGGGATTCTCGGGATGGGACTGCTGGACGCAGTACTTCCCACGGAAAGCACGACTTCTCGCCCGGTCCCCGGCCGGGCGAGCGGGCGGAGCCCCCTGGCTGTGGGTGGAAGCCCCGCGGCGGCGGCGGGCGGGTGGAGATCTCGGTGATGGGACTCATGGACGCAGTCCTTCCTGGGCAGAACAATTACGGAAGCCTTTCGGGGCCATTTCAGCCAACACCATTTTCTTAGGCTCTCCCAGACAAAGGCGCTAACCCTGGGCCGGTTGACTTTGAAAGGGCTTGTCTTTCAGGCTAGGGCGCATGGGCAAACGTCCTCCAGCGAAGCTCTTAAGCGACTTGCATTTTCCCACCCAATTGTAAACAGCCCTAGCAGAAAGTGTGACAACCTACTTCCTGTTTTTTTGCAGTCACAAAGGTTAAGGATTTTACCTGAGGCACCTGAATCCTTGGCCTCCATCTTGCCTCCTTTATCCTTTAGTGGAGGAGGCCTTGACGTCCTTCTCAGCACTACCGTTTTATACCCTGTCACTTCATTATCTACAATTCAGCACTTCATCGTGTGTCATGAATTACAAGCTGGATCCTCCCAAAAGATTAAGCACTTTGAAAGTAGGAACTGAGGCCTCTGCCGCTTTAGAAATGGTTTAGTGAGCCGGGCGTAGTGGCCCATGTCCTTAGTCCCAGCACTGGAGGCAGGGGCAGGCAGATCTCTGAGATTGAGTCCATCCTGGTCTTTATAGTGAATTCCAGGTCAGCTGGGGGCCCTACAGGGAGACCCTGTCCCATAAAAACCAAGGAAAAAAATTTTAGGCTGGGAAGTAACTCGCCCAAGGTCCCAAAGCCAAGGAGTTGTGTCCCACAAAAAGTCAATAGCCAGGGGAGGTGGCCAAGCCTTTAATCCCAACATTAGGAAGGCTGAGACAGGCAGATATCTGGGATTGAGGTCTACATAGAGAGTTCTAGGCCAGCTGGTGTGACAGGGAGACCTTGTTTCAAAAAAAAAGAAAAAAATCATTACAAAAATTTTCTTTTTTGGTTTCGTGTTGCTTTTCTGGAACAGGGCTTTACTATGTAGCCCAGGGCGGCCTAAAACTAGTGATCTCTTTATTCTCCCCCAAAGCTGGAATTAGAGGTATGTGCCACTATTCCTGGCTGGGGAGGGTACTTTCTTTTTAATCTATTAGTGGGGGGAGGGAGGTCATGTGACAGTCAGAAGACAAGTCTCTCCTTCCACCTTTAAGCTCAGGTCCTAGGTTTGCATTTCCGGCAATTAGCACCTGATGCACTGAGCCCTCTGACCCACCTCAGTGCCTCAGTGACTTTTTTTTTTTAAGGCAAGTTTCTGCTCAGTCTGTAACCCTAACATTGCCCCTAGGTAAGGGCTGAGGAAGAAAAAGTTCAAGGCCAGTCTGAACTTTGCTTCAATATACATAACACATATATACATATATCTATGCACATCCATTTTTTTAAGAAGAAAACCTGGAGAGGGGATATGGCTCAGCAAGTAAAAGCCCTGCCAGCAACTGAACATGAGTTCAATTTCAAGAGTCCACATAGTCCACATGGTAGGAGAGAATCCTGTCTCCCAAAATTTGTTTTCTACACACACACACCCCCACACACACAGTGGCTCATGTGCCACTCCAAAAAATAATAAATGTAAATTGAGTTTAAAAAAAACAAAACTAAGAGATTGGAGAGAGGAAATCTTCAGAAGGAAAAAAAAAAAAAACTTCCTGGAAGAAACTATATTATTCATCCTTGTAAACCAAGCACTGAAGATTCTACCATATGTAAAGTGTATTCAGCAATAGACCACACCTAACTTGAAAGGGCTGGAGGAGAGAGGAACTAATGTTGTGGATCAATACTCTTTAACTTTTTTGGTGTTTTGTTTTAAAGATTGGGTCTCCAGTCCAGGTTGGCTTTAAACTCAGAGCACAGCTAAGGTGCTCTTAGAATTTGTGGTGATCCTCCTTTTTGCCTTCAGAATGCTGGGATTATTGGGTCTTTTCCCTAGATCTGCCTGCCTCTGCTTCCTGAGGACTGGGAATGCCCCCCCCCATTTGTTTTTTCTTTTTTTTTTAAAGAGTGGGGAGGGAGGCTGGAGAGATGTCTCAGTGGTTAAGAGCACTGACTGCTCTTGGAGAGGACCCAGGTTCAATTCCCAGCACCCACATGGTGGCTATGAACCATCCTTAACTCCAGTTCCAAGGGAATCCGAAGCCCTCTTCTGACCTCCACGGCATTGCACGACATGGGTGCACTCACATACATGCAAGCAATACGCTCATACACAAAAAATAAAAATAAATTTAAAAAAAAAGAGCCTCGGAAGGCAGATGTTGATGAGTGTGTGGGCAGATGAGGCAGGAGGAGTACTGCAAGTTCTAGGCCACCCAGGTCTACACTGGCTAGTTGCAGGACATCCAGAACTAATGAGAGACTCTGTTTCAAAGAGAAAAAGTGCCAGGCAGGGTAGCTTATGCCTTTAATCCCAGAACTGGATCTCTGTAACTTCCATTTCTGTGTGATCTGCATAGCAGGTTCCAGGCCAGCTGGGGCTACAGGGAGACCCTGTCTCAAAAAAACAAAAGAGAGAGAAAGCTGGAGACCAACCTGGGCTACACAGTAGGTTTGAAGCAAATCTAGGCTAATGAAACCTTGTCTACAGCCCAATAACAGAAAGAAAAGCAAAAAGGAAGGAAGAAAGGAAAGAAAAAGCCCTGGAAAGGCGAGAAATAATTCCTAGCTGGGCATGGTGGTACAAACCTCTAATCCCAGCACTTGGGAGGCAGAGGCAGGTGGATCTCTTGTGAGTTCGAGGCCAGCCTGGTTTATATAGCTAGCTGGGGCTACAGGGAGACCCTGTCTCAAAAAAAAAAAAAATAAAGAAAAATAAAGAAAAAAGAAATTATTCCTAAAAACTGAAGACAGTCTTTGTCACTACTGTCATTATTTTCTGTACATCTGTGTTTGTTATCAGAGAAACATTCTGTCTCTTGTGTGCCTCCACAGTGGGCACTCTTGGGCAGGCATTCATTCAGTCCTGCAGGCAGCTAACTGGTAGCTCTACTGGTCAGGAAGGTTTCTCTCTCTCTCTCTCTCTCTCTCTCTCTCTCTCTGTCTCTCTCTCTCTCTCCTCCTCCCTCCACTAGGGACAGATCTGCCTGCCTCTTCGCTTAAAGAGAAAGAAAAGTCTGTGGTTTTGGGTTGTTTGGTGGTTGCAAGGCAAGATCAAGTAAACTACTTAGGGCCAGATTTAGTAATTTACTCTGCTCCTTTAATGCCAGCACTCCAGAGGCAGAGAGGCAAAGGCAGGTAGATCTCTGCGGTCCAGGCCAACCAGGAAAAAAACAAAACAAAACATATCAACCCACACAATTTAGCTATTTCTGGAGCAGAACTCTGGCCTAACCTTAAATCAATATTCTCTTCAAAAGTGCTACAAAGATCATTGTAAACCCAGATGTCACTGAAGCCTTTTCTTTTTCTTTCTTTCTTTTTTTTTTTTTTGTCTTTTTGAGACAGGGTCTCCCTGTAGTTCCAGCTGTCCTGGAACTCACTATGTAGACCAGGCTGGCCTTGAACGCACAGAGATCTGCCTGCCTCTGCCTCCCAAGTTCTGGGACTACAAGCTAGCTCTACCACGCCTGGCTCTAAAAAAATATTTTTATGTGTATGAATGTATTGCTTGTATGTAAGTGTACCCCTGTAGTACACTGCTCATGGAGGTCAGAAGAGGGTGTCAGATCACCTGGAGCTGGGGTTACAGACATTTGTTAGCTGCCATGTGGGTGCTGGGATTCAAACTTCTCTGTTCCTCTGCCAGAGTATCCATTGCTCTTAATCAATGAGCCATCATCTCTCCAGCCCTCTGGTCTCTGAAACTTAAGCACACATTACTAGCTAAACCCAGGTGTCACACCTTTGATCCCAGCACTTGGAAGGCAGTCAGGCAGATCTCTGTGAGTTTGAGGCCAGCCTGGTCTACATAGTGAGTTCAGGTCAGCTGGGACTATAGGGAGACCCTGTCTCAAAAAGACA